GGCCAAACCAACATGTTTTTTACTCGGAGCTTGCTGTGGGATAGTTTCTGGTGCTCATTTCGAGTTAATTGATAGCAGAAACCGCATTATAGATCTCCATGGACTTCTAGAGGTCGGTTAGGTCACTGATCTAAAATGACCGGGGTCAACATTTGTTTTAGGAACTACTGTCTAACGTAATCTTTGTCGCTTAGTCAAATGCAAAACTCGAAGGCACCTTGCATGATTTTGGCCACCCTGACCTTCAAAAGCTCAAACAAGGTCAGTGACCTTCAGTGAGAATGTGACCTTTGGCTTAGAAACGGTTATCTCGTTCTGGGGGCACTTTGGAGACCAACCTGGAACTTGACCTTGTTCGACCTTTTTACCCGAAGGTCATGACCTAGGAACCTGACACCTAACCTAAGTGAGTTCACGCACAGGTCAACACACGCTGTAAATTTAGTGTCTAAAGGTTCCCGAGATCTCAGGGGGGTCAAATTGACCCCACACGGGCGAAGGGTATCTGGCCGCCGGCCGCCCGGCGCGTGTTAACCGACCTTGCTCTGGACTTCGTGATCACATCGTCATTGGGTACGGAGGATCTGATGGGGATTGATTCATACTACCCCCCGTGGTACTACGATTAATGCGGCAAAAGGCCCGGCACCCAACGCACCCAAGGTTTTACTCATGGTTTTCCCCACATATATGCAATAAGTTGTGATCTTGAATGGCGGCCTTATTCACCACATTTTCCGCATTGCGCCCATCAAAGCAAAATTGCATAGAGTGGTTTTTCCCTGCTTCCCCTCGCTAAAGTGGCCACCGAACTTATTTAGGGTGAGCCGTTTTATGTACGGATAAATTCGCAGCACCGCTCGTTCCTCTCTTGGCAAGTAATGTACGTTGAAGCCACCAAAAAAAGGGGGGAAATGGTGCCGTTGATGGCAAGGCGATGTTGATGGTTGGATGACCACTGGTTGCGGTAGTTTGTTGGTAATTGGTGGTCGACAAAAGTTGTCAGCGCAGTGAGGTTGGTTTGAGGGATTATAAGCAATACCCTGCAAGAAGCCGTGTGAGTGAGGTAATTCCAATTAAGACTGTAAGGGTTGGGCGATGGTGTGGGGCGCCTTTACGCCGTATGATCACTTTTTTTCGACGGCGCTACGTGCTGCGAATCCTGAGGCCTGCTGTCATAATGGACGGTACAATGCTGTAGTTCAAGCTTAGGTGTAGGTATCATTGGTACCTAATGTTAAAAAAAACATTGTACATCATTCGTCGTGTTTAAGGCGGAACATGTCGTAAATCCATCATGAAAACAGGTATATTCATGCTCCACCTTCGAATTCCAGTAACTACGATAGCGAACTCCCGAGCGCCCCACTCACTCCACCGCCTTGGCACCCCAGCGTAGTTCCTGCGTCATCGTTGCGTGGTTACAATATTTCTGCTTATGAAGAACTATAAAAAAAACAAACAACCTAAACTAGCCTTATCTACCTAGCCTAACCTAACCTAACCTAGCCTAGCCTAGCCTAGCCTAGCCTAGCCTAGCCTAGCCTAAGCCTAGCCTAGCCTAGCCTAGCCTAACCTAACTAACCTACCTACCTAACCTAACCTAACCTAACCTAACCAACTAACCTAACCTAACCTACCTAACCTAACCTCCCCACCCTATCCTCTTCAACCCAGTGCCCCATTGGCAATCCATGCCCCATGCCAACACCTACGCACCATAATTAAGAAGTTTCTGTTCAGCCGCCATATTCTCATCTTGCGCACGGAAGACTGCTTGGAAGCATACTTCATTGGGTTCTTGGCACCTGGGCCTCCCGTACATTTTTATAGTTCTTGATACGCAGTAATGTTGGATCTTGCGTAGCAACGGCGCCGGGGCCGCGGTTGCTGCGTGTTTGGAGGCGCTCGGATGTTCGCTATCGTAGATATTTAAGTTCCGAGGTAAGAGTTTAGATGACCTGTTTTACGATTAATTTCGATATCTTCTTCTGCCTTAAAAACGATGACTGACGTACAATGCTCTATTTAACATGAGGTAGCAATGCATGCCATGACTTCGGTATGTTCCGCGTTAAACCTGACAATGATGTACAGTGAATTTTCTAACATTAGGTACCAAGGTATGCATACACCTAAGTGTTTTTCAGACATTGTAAAAAGCTTGGAAAAATTTCAAAGCCTCTCAAGGTTGTTTCAGCATTTCTAACGCATCTGTGCATATTATGCCATGTTGAAAAGCCATATTAACCAAGCTCTTCACAATGATATGCTTACAGCCCTTACAATTTGAGTAGCAGTTTACAGGTAGTGTGCAAACAAGTCTGCCTGGTCTAATGCAAGTTCAAGCAAAAGTTTGGTCAAGGAAACAAGGCTATGAAAAACCAAAGTAAATGCATGTCACAGTAGCAGCCACACAAATTATTGTCAGTGTACATCAGTCTGTTTTCCGAAGCAAGGTGTTATATTCCCTGACAAAGAAAGGTGTCATGGACTTGCGCCAGCATGCACCTATCACACACTGGGCATGCATATGTTACTTCAAATATTAGGGGAAATAGCTAAAAACGTGAAGTTTTCAAGTGTGTCTCCATTTAGTTGACCACCACTATGACCACCTTGCCACACTGCCAGTGTCTTGAAGTGACTTGGCTGATGTTTCTTAAATATGCCATAATAACAGGATGTCTTATTTTCAGGTTTTCAACTTCCCACCACACACTGCACACTGATGTCTGATCCTGACCGAACAATATGGTGTGGCAATGTCTCTGGTGAGGTGACAGATGAAGTTCTGTATGAATTATTCTTACAGGTGAGCTTCTCATGTTAGCATGTTTTAAGGCATGTCGACGATGCCACTTATGGTACAAACAGGCTCCTTTGTCAGCATCTGCATTAGGTTATGGCAGCTCCACTGGATAGACCACCTGTCAGGCCAGTCTACTGTCAGTGGTAGTTTATGGCCATGCCACCTGAGACATTACTCACATAGCCAAAAGGTCCTGTTTCCATTGCAAGCTCCATTTCAGCGGTCATGTGTGGATACTGTGTGGTTCAATGAGCTACAACTCTACACACAAAAGCATTTGTCAGCTATAATGCTGTCAAGGGTGCACACTTGAAGCACTGCACTTGCTTTCTGAGTAAGAATATGTAATTATTTAAGTGTGGGTAACAGTATGCATGCATTTAGTATTGGAACATATTATGTATATAGTGTGCTTCCACTTTCCTGGCCTTGTGATTGCCAGGCGGGACCACTGGAAAGGGTGCGCCGGCCGCGGGACCAGAGGACGGGCGATCCGCGCCCCTTCGCCTTCGTCACCTACGAGGACGAGGAGTCGGTGCCGTACGCGCTCGAGCTGTACCGCGACACCAAGCTGTTCGGTCGAGTGCTCCGACTGCAGGCGCAAGGCGGCCAGGTGGGTCCGCCGCGGTCACCGCCTGACAAGGATGGGAGGGGGGAAGCCAGGGGGTTTACTGTGGTCACCGCCCGACGGCGAACGTCGCTGTCCTCTGCAGTCCTCTGAGCATACTTTTGGAAATTTGACTGCTGAAATCTTGGCAGTGCTGCGTTGTGAAGAAACACAATTTTGCAACTTTATCCACGCATGAAAACGGAGTCAGACTCGGCCTGTGTCTTCGCTGGATGACTGTTGCTAGTGTATGTTCTGCTCTTATTTATTGTTTGCTCATGCTGCGATTTAAGTAATCCCGACGCCCCAGCTTGGTGGTCAGAAAACTGCACGTCCACATTGTCACACACATCCCCATCCGCTGACCTGGGGAAGTAACATGTTGCTATTGTCTTCCAGCAGCATGACAAGCAGCAGCTGGCGTCGAACGGTCGCCCCGTCCGGCGCTTGATCGAGTCCGGCGGAGGAGCCCGGGCAGAACGCGCCGACCATAGGCACAGCGACCGGACAGCGGGTCGCTTTAGTGAACGCGGGTCGGAGAGACACAGCGTCCGCCGTCCCGACCGCCACACTGACCGCGGTACGGAGCGGGCGAGGGATCGCGGTGCGGTGTGGTCTAATGATCGTGGTACGGACAAGTACAATGATCACGGAGCACAGAGGTACGATGACCACGGAGCGGACAGGTACGATGATCGTGGCGTGGAGAGGTACGGCGGTCGCTTTGCGGAGAGGTACAACGAGCGCGCGGGAGACTGGCACGATGACGGCGCTCCGGAGCTCTCCAGCGGCCGCGGCGCCGGGCGGTACTGTGAGCCTACTGATGACTGGCCCGGTGACCGCCGGAGCGTGCGGCGCGGCGAGCGCGGCGAAGAGGGCTACAGCGGCCGTGACACCGGGCGGCGCGGTGCGTGGGGTGACGACGGATGCGGCGAGCGCGGCGCTGAGCGATATGGGGGGCGACAGCAGCCGCAGGGTGACCTCGAAAAGGCGTTCTACAATAGCCGGTCGCACGCGGGCGGCGGCTCCTCACCCTGGCAACAGGGCCACGCCCCCCCGGACCGGCGCCGTCAGCCGGCCCCCGAGCCAAACCGGAGCAGACGCCACCATGAGTGGCCCTACCCGACGTCACGGCCCCGCTGGTGACGAGCGGCCCGGCCGGGGGCGCCACTGGTGCTGGGCGACCGTGCGGTGAGCGCCGCTTGTGACGACAGCTGTTCTGGGGGCGCCACTAGTGGCGGGCGGCCGCGCTAGGGGCGCCACTGGTGACCAAGGTTCACGTAATGAGCACTGCTGGCGACGGACGCCGCGCTGGTCCTGGTGATGAACAGTCGTGCTGAGGCGTCACCAGGGTGGCGGTCTGTTCTACAGGGGCTGCTGCGGTGACGGGCGGTGTTGACAAAGTGTGTGTGTGTGTGTGGAGGGGGGGGGGGGCCCAATGTTCCGCGCCGCTGGTGGGTGCCACGTGAATTGAGTAGTGGTATCTGCACCCCAGGGGCGAAGGACGCTAGGTTTTTAAGATGTAAGGACTTTTTCGGTAATCGATAGCACGATTACAGGTAATTGATCGTCAGTGGCTCAGTACGCGATGTACTTTTTGCCTAATGTTTCTCTTTTACCCAAATTTGTATCCAGGAATCCTGGATGGGCTTCGAGTTAAATTTGGTGCGCAGCGGATCAAATATTGTCACTTACGCAACATGGACATTGACGGTAGCTACAGAGGCACGTTGGGTACATGGATGGTACATGGCCAATCAATGGCCTGATTGCTCATGTGTATGTGCATCTCCACCTGTTGCCGGTCGTCTCAGCGAGTCCGCGCTGGCTGTCCCGGAGCTCCGCAGTATGGCCCGTCCCTGGCGCCTGCATGTGCGCAGTGACGGGTGGCCGCCTGTGGGTGGCGTCGCGGTCTCCGTGGCTGCCAGCGTTTGATGCCGCCACTCCGGCCCCTGACGGGTGCAGCGCTCCGCGGGCCTCTGTATCGCTCAGCTGTCGCTAGTGAGCCATCTGGTGAGACTGGGGATGGGGGACGTTCTGAACGATTAGTCCGCATCCTGTGGAGTGATCAGTTCTTGTTCTCGGATATGGCGGTGCCGTTTTGGTATATCGATGATGATTGTTGCCTTGTCACAATGCAAATGTGTGTTTTGATTTCGATTGCTGGCGTAATCTAAGCACTGTCGGCATTAAACGGCTTCCACTAGGCAGAGTGCTGTAGACCCGACAACATGTGTTTTTGTATGCTTCAGTGTACCTAGCCACACAAATCTTACGATGGAAATACAAGCTCTTGTTATTATATTTTCTTGCCAAGTACGCAGCCCCAGTAAGTTACCTTTCCCGTTTAGTGGGTAGTTATTTTCTCGCTAGACGTGTTGCAGGGAGAATCGCGCACTTGTCGCTAGCTAGCATATAAACGAAATGCGCTCAAGGCAAATCTCGATTAATTTGGCAACAGTTTACGACATCAAGGCAAGTAAACACACTAACATTTCTTGTCGATGGAGTGGGCCCTTTCGTGCACGAAAGCAGCTAGAAAGAGGACTGTCCAAGCACATAACGTCGATTTGAGGAGCATGGCTCCTACCCTTAATACTTTACAAACCAAATATTTCGATCCCTAATATATCAGCAGCAATGACTTACAACGCATTGGCAAAACCTTCACAATGGCTGTGAGGCACCCTTGGTGGTATACGGCTCAGTATGCCAGAAGCTGTGTTACATCCGGTGATGACCGCCAGACCCGTGCGCTTACCACGCATGATACGTCCACACTCGATGTGTCAACAGATAGGGCACTAGTGTTCAGCCCAAGATCGACTTGCCAGGTCCATGCGTGAGCTTCGCGAACAGTGGCGGCCCAACCCCCACGAAGATCGGGGGGGGGGGGGGGGCTAACATAGTATTACAAAATCTCGTTTTCCATGCACTGTCATAGGGCTCATGCTAAACGTCCTCCATAGTTGGCGGCAGGGAAGCTCCTGTCCCTCCCATAATCCGCCGCCGCTGACCTCAACTCATCACATCAGTCTTTTGCTCACTGCTGAGTAATTTGTGCCGACGCCGCACAGCTGAGAACGCCAGCTTGAGCGCTGAGGCCGAGGTACCCCGTCCGACGTGCCATTATCGGGGGACTGCTGAGTGGGGTCGGAGTCCTAGGGCCGACACAAAGGGGACCGGCGGCGCCCGCTGCAGACCGCCGGCGGCGCACGTGACTTATCCTCGGATCTGGCACACTCGTGGCGAACGCGGCGCAACCGGGCGTCGCTGCCGCTTTGTGGCCGCCGGGGGCCAGCTAATGGACAACGATTCAGGACGGGTCACCATCAGGTGGACGCCCCTTAGAGGAATCGCGGGGCGTCCCTCGGCGGCTGGCCTGAGGCGTGACGGCGCCCATGGCCGCTTCAAAGGACCGTGCTGCGCTCGTCAGATGCGCGAGGATTTTTAATTGGTCCGTTGACGCCTTCAGACCACTCGAGGCAGGCATGGTATACCGAGCTAGAAGGCCTGTTGGTTGTGTCGGCCGAGAGCTCTGCACCAGACGGGCTGGGCCACAGAGGTCTCAACCGAGAAAGTGTCCATCGATAGGCTTGTAAGCCGTGTGGGGATGCGGGAATGTCAGGGACTGTATGAAGTCGTCAGTATCGCGAAGGCTTGTAAGTGGCGCGGTCCAGCGAAGCACACGGCGTTTTCAGCACCTCACACATGCATGACTGGAAAACGCCGGCTGACCGGGGTGACTGCGACCACGCTAACTGCGATCAACATCGGTGCTCTATCAATACTTTATACCGAAATATTTTTCTCCTTGCGTTTTTTCTATTCGCACTCTTAAAATTATGCACCTCTGTGTACATGGGGGCCCCGCGGAGGGGCCTCGTGAAAAATCGACGAGGGAGCTAAAAATCGCTCACTGAGCACCTGGCATCACACAATCAGTACACTAACGAGTCTGGTTCAGTTCCGGCTATGGAGTCCTCCACAGCACGAACGCAATGCCAAGAAGTGGCCGAAAAGGAATGTGCAGCCTGTTGGCGAAATCGGTCAGGGCTTTACTGTTTTTTGTTGATTTTTTCATTCGTGTCATTAGACAGCAGGAGCCAGCTTCCTGAGTGGAAGTTGAGCATGCCGATCGACATACACGAGGTGTAGCTTACACCAAGGTTTCAATCACAGCCCACCTGAATCTAGTTACTTTGAATCACAGTCGGAGTACTTTGGCCGGCAGCGACCAAAGGCATACCCGCGGAATCGATTAACCAGTTGGATTGTGCACACACTAGAAAAGAAAAATGCATCCTGAGCCTCATCTGCGGACTGATGTGTAGGTGCATGTGGCCGTACTGATGTGTATGATCATCTCAATACACAACCGCCGCGCCTTGCCACCAATGTTTGGAAAATCTTGGGGCATCGTAAGTGCCCAGAACATGTGAGGCCTGTGAAATGAATAGTTGTTGTCGGCGTCGGCAGCGTCTCTCTACGCTCGTATATAAGCGCGACTGTCATATAAGGCTCGATAAATCGCGCTTTAAGGCACCCGCGTGACATGGCCCCAGGGTACGAATTATTTATCCACGAACCCAGCGTACAAAAGTGTGGACGAACAAGTCGCCATGGTCTGCGATGGGGAGCGTGGGGCCGAGCTGCAGCCTCAGGAAACAGTGAATCAATGAGCGCATCTGCAGGCGAGTTTTTTACAATCTCCTGAAACGCGCCCACATATGGAAAGTTTTCACACAGCTCACACAGAATCTTTTGTGCTGTTCGTTGGTAATTTGTAAGCGGTCATTGGCCAAACTGGCCACAAGGTTGCAGCTGGTGAAGTACTCAGTGATAAGCAAAGCACGCCATTTTGACATACAGATATTTGCACCACGGCCGTTGCATTTAGATAACCTACGCAGACCCTACAGACCCTCAATGTCGCCTCTCGATCTCGCCAGCTCATGCTTCCACCACATTCCCGCTCCATGTACACGACTGACCGCTTCAAACACGCAAGTTCAAGTCAATATGTAGGTAAAGTTTTGCACCCTCAGTAGTCGAAGAACACATCCATTTGTCATGATAGGCAAAGCTCAACTATCATCGCTCGAAAACTCGCTCATGAAGGTGGTTATAAGGTTATCAGGTGTCTATCATTCCCAGCGGTTGAAGCCAGCAGACAGGGCTACTAGAGAAGGCTACACAGATGCGACGCCACCATGGGACTCAAATTTGTTAGCCCATAGCATGGTCCTTGGCTGATACTACGCAAAGACTGGTAGATACTAATAACATTATAACGAAAGGAGATTTCGTCAATGCACTGGGTGGCAATCCTCTGCTACATCTTTATTTCAATGTCATGTGGATAGATATTGTACATTTTGCACTTAGAACCTTCTAAAGAAAATTCAGTGCTGCGACTTGCTTCCAAAAAGAGATCCTGCTAAACCACGCTTTCTAAGTTCAGTACCTGTGCCATATTCGTCGTAGTCAACCTGCCTGAACATTTATATGTAATGCCCCTTTGAGACATGACTATCTGTAAATCAATGGATATCATGTGTAATGGTAACACTAAATTTATAAATGGG